CACATATCATTATCAGACGGAACAAATGTGTTTGCCTCTGCGGCTGACCCTCAGGCTCTGCACTCAATGCGGTCGGCTTGGCTCGGCCGCCATTCCCGGCACCCTGGTCGACGTGATGTGCAGCAAGTGCTATGCAAATGTGGACAGTTTCGGTGTCCCTTGCATTATTCATTCCACTTCGCACTTTGGCAGCTGGTTCGATTCGAGCGGCGCCTGCGGGCCATGTACTCAAGTTAATTAAAGTTTGTTTTTCTTGTACGAAAAGGACACTAAAATGTCAGCCAAAAAGCCAAAGACAAATCGCTGTAGCTGGCCGCCTAGAGCTGATATAAAGCGCGGTTGTTGCCCATCATTTATAAGCTCCACAGTTGCATTCATTTGTGTGCAACCGCGCAGCAGGTAATCAAGTTGCCGCAGCACCAGCAGCAGCAGCACGACACCGCGCTTGCCACATATGAATCTGTTAACAGTAACCAGCAACTGCCAACTGGGCTACGAGCTACAAGGATTTTGCTTAGCTTTTATCACAAATTGAAAAGTGTTTTTCTTTTTCGTTAAGTTTTCATTGGCCATTTGGGCAGCTTCTTGGCAGCAGCCGAGCAGCCAAAGACAAATATGGACAGCAAGCGTCTGCCGCAGCTGGCGCAGAGACATCGGCACAAAGCCGTTTTCGACCATTTATCAGTTCTATGTTATTGGCAAAAAAATAAATAAAGAAAAAAATAAAACCATCTTCGGACACACCGAAGATTAAATGCCCTTGCAGACATAGCAGAAATAGAAAATAAAAGTAAAGAATTATCTTCAGACACGCCAAAGCTTAAGAAGACATGTCACCTAGAAGTGGTTTTATCGGTATTCTGTATTATACAGTAAAAATATTATATAAAGAAACAATAGCTTTCCTTTTGATCGATTGTTCTTAAAGAAGCCACGTAAAATTGCATACGGTCTTGCACATATGTTGGGAAAAAGTGAAGCTCATAATTGCTGGGCTTGGTCGAGAAATCTTGAAAAATCAAAAACAAGATCTTACAATTCGTTCGATTATACATATGACTGCCGATTTCGTCATATTTAGGTAATACTCCAAACAACAGAAAAATAGACCCATGCAAAGAGAGACAATCATGACGATAGAAGAAGGAAACAATGAAAGAATGACATGGCAAAATAGAGTCGCCCATTAATACCGATTAAGAATATATATGCCTTATATAATACGTGATGTCTCCTTCTAAGCTTTACACACTTCATAACAAAAGTATAATACCATATGAAAGGATATAGAAAAACGAGAAGAAACCAAAGCAAAGCGAAGGCTGAAAGCCAGCAACGAGAACAAATGCAATAAAATGCAATGTTTCTATTACAACGATTTACGTTCGACACACACTACAACACACAGCCTTTATGTGTGAATGTATGTGTGTGCGTGTGTGTGTGTGTGTGTGTTGTCGTCATGCTTTCAGCTAGCAACTGCCCCCTCTATCCCCCCTCAACAAAACACTCTGAGCATTTCGCGAGCTGCAACATTTTTATTGCTTCGAACAAATTTTGGGCGGCCAACCAAATGTTAGCAAAGTTTCACTGGTTGTTGTCCTGGCTACCCATTGTCCTTGTTGCTATTGTTGTTGTTGTTTGTTAACTAGCGCAACTTAAGATAAGCAGCTTTTTGTTGTTGTTGTTGTTGTTGTTGCTTTTGCTGGCCACTCACATTTATTTTCTTTTGGCAATTTTAATTGCTGTTGAACTTGGTGTTGGCTGCAACGGCAACAACATTAATGACAGCAATTACAACAAATGCAACAGCAACAACAACAGCAACAACAACAACACCAGCGAGTCGTGTGTGCCATATATTTGATTTAACTTGTTGGCGCTAAAAGTTTACACAATATTTTGTTGCAGCGCACAAATAAATTTGTTTGGCCCTTTAAAAACTATTGTGGGAATTTAGAGATTTGTGGCGCACATTGTTGCAACAACAAAAACAACAACATACTCTCGTAATATGCTTCAATTTATGGCATAGTAGTAGCAATAATATGAAATTTTTATTTTTTGACAAAAACTCAATACAAAAGTATAGAAATGAAAACGTAAAAGTACTTTCAGAATATTTCTAAAAATTTTTATTTTATGAATATATTCAAAATATATATAAAATCACTAAATCTTCTGAATACTAGAGATAAAACTTATCTCTAAAACAAATCTAAGTTTAACTGTTTGGTAATTCGTGTAATAATTGAGTATTTCAAACTATTTTTTTAAGAAAACTAACTAAACAAATCTTTCGATTCAACTCAATTATAAAAAACTCCACTATGATACTTTCTGTTTGGCTCAAGATAATAATTAGAATATAGATAATAATTAAAATATATTTTTCGATTTTAGACAGATTTAAGCAACTTCAATATTATTATAATTAAATATCGCGAAAAGTAAGTGATCGCGATGATTTTAATTTTTTAGATCGTTTTTTGCCTGGGACTGATACATATATAATTAATCGACAAATAGATGAATTCTCGATTCTTAACAAATTGCTTACTAGAAATAATACAAAAATGATGTAGAATTTTATTACCTTCAAATGGGTATGAGATTTATCCAAGTTGGGCACTCTCGACTAGGTTGCTTTAACTTATTAATTACTTACTTTCTTAAACATACTAGCTGGTATTTCTCAGCCTTGCCCAGTCCAAGTTTTTGCTTCAAATTTTAAACATCCGCCTAATTTTGGCCGTGGAACATTTAAATCTATCTGAAGTATCATAACCTTCACGTCTCAATTTATATTTAACATAGATGCGTTTGAAGTATCCCGAATATAGAACCAAAAGTTGGAATTAACGTGTTCAGCTCAAGGTGAACTATCTTTCCAACATCAAATGTCGCGCATTTTATATCCATGTGAATGGATAGCATAGCAATTTTATTGTGTATTACAAAAATACAAAAATAAAATAAAATAAAACGGCGGAGATATGTTGCTTTAAGACGACATAAGTCCGCGCGAATATAGGACGTTCGAAAACGACAAAGCTCCACCATCAAAAATCACGAGATTATGTCCCTTAAAAGCGGGATGTATTATGCGAGGATTGTTTTATACAAGTTAAATCAATTTTCACAAAGATCTTTGACTCATATTGGGTATAACGGAATTTTCTCAAAGATCATTGGAAATTAATTTGAGCCGGAAAGTTCACCCACCAAATCTTTGACCCTTATTTCCACCAAGGATGAACGAATTTTACGAATAGTGAAAAACATCCCTAAAACTAATTTGAACAAAGAAAATGAGTTTGAGGCCGATCGGATGGTGAACAAGAAGCTTGCATACAATAGATATTCACACTTTTCCCGCACACTTTCCTGGAACGCGGTCTTATTGCATAAAATAACTTCAGCTTCCTAGCTCCTATAGTTTTGATTGAATCAGTCAGCCAGTCAGGCGCAATTTCTTTTGCTAATCAGTTTTATATATTTGCCATATATATGTATATGTTATCTATTATACCAGAATAACATTATGAACTATTTATTACCTACATTTTATTATTACATACATGCCAGTATTACATTGTGTAATGCTGAGAAATGTATTTTAAAATGTACATAATTTTTTTTTTAATTTGATGGGTACAATGTGTGTAGACTCAGTTACTCGGTCATATTTGGCTTGCTTCACCTTCTTAATTGCTTTCAACAACCAATCACGGAGATTTGCAACATTTGCGTATACTCCTGGATATCCAGGGAGGCCGCAATCGAAACCAAAAGAAACAACACCAACAAGTTCGCCATTAGACACCAAAGGTCCACCAGAATCGCTTTCGCAAGCACCTTTCGTTTTTCCGCCAGCACAGATCATATCCTTAGTGATTTTCCAACCACGGGAGGACAGTTTGGAACGTCCGCAGGTCTTATGGTCGATCATTTGGAAAAGGTATAAGCATCGTTAGGTAAAGCCTGGTAGCTATCATGGATCTTAACATAGGCAACTTTCACAAGCTGGCCACCAGAAATGCTTTTTGCAGATCCAGCTCGTACCCATAGATCGACGAAATTGTCTAGGAATGGGCGGCAGTTATGATGATGTCTTTGCTATAAATTGAACCACCGCAAACAGATTCGTTCTTCCACAAAAGTGTCACAGTCCAGGGTGCATCTTCAATCTTAATGCGATTTCCATTCACTATGCGTGGAAAGTACCATGGCAACCGAAATGGGTGAAATGCGTCCAGAAGAGTTGCCGTCGAGAGCAGCAGAACAAGTAGAGCCAAGTAGATCGACATATTGTGCTAGAAGTTTTTCTGTTGAAATTGAGTCCACAACTTTCAACTTTTATAGGCCCTTTAGGCTGTTGTGTGGCCTGAATTATTGAATTATTGGCAACATTGTAGAGCTCTTTCTGAAATTACTTTTTACGATTGCCTAATTAGGCCTCAACTTCAGATAATGGCAATCATAAGTTCATGTCAAACAATTATTTATATATTTCAAACTTCCGCTCACGGACCACTTTGTAGTCATTTGTAGTCATCAAGAAACAGCCTGTATCCCGACCACACAGCCAATCCTCGGGATCGAGTTGCATTTAAATTTGCTTGTGGAATGCTTTTGATCACTTTTCTATTTTGCCTGGCAAGCTTCTTTTTGAGAGTAAATTGCTCTAACTGAGGGATAGTTATTTTATAAGAAGACCTAAAGCTATTAAACTCTTATCGATTCTCATGAAAAAATAGATCGCCTGTAGATCGTCAGATGTAAGCCCCGGTATCGACCTCATCACCTTAAAGATAGATCAGTTAAAGCATTGAATTCTATCAACATAGTGCATAGCTAAAGCCTTGCTCATAATCAAGAGTATTAGGAGATTCGAGTCGAAATCGCTTACTTAAATTGGATGACGCTCTAAAATAATCCAATCTCTTTGTGGTAGAAATGAAGGTTAAGTCAAAAGAGAAATTCAAGTACAGCCCAAGTTACTGTCTGATTACAAAATGCCTGTAATTTTATTTAAACACATTTCTATTTAAGCTGAAATTTAAATATTTTTGTTGCTGTGCACATTTTATTCGCATGCTTCAGCTTAAGGGGTATAAAAGTACCAGAATTAGCTATAAGTTATTTCACTGAATATGTTACCGAATGTTCTCAATGGTGTCCAGCAGCCAGTCATGGAAATGTGCAACATTGGCATAAACTCCTGGATATCCGGGATTGGCGCAGCCCATACCCCAAGAAACAACACCCACGAGTTCTCCATTATATACCAAAGGTCCACCAGAATCGCCATCGCAAGCATCTTTTAATTCTCCGGCAGCACAGATCATGTCCTCCGTGATTTTATAGCCGAGCAACGGATATTCGGTCAATGCGCAGGTCTCATGGTCGATCATTTGAACCTTTACCCCATGCAAGTCTTCTGGGTATTCAAGGCCTATATTGCCCCACCCTGTTACAAGCGCGTCGGCTCCGTTTTCGGGAACTTTCGTGGCCAGTGGAATTGTTTGCACCAATGGCCCAAGTTCAAGCGGATGAGCTAGCCGCAAAACAGCGATATCATTCTCCGTCGTTGCTGAATTGTAACCTGCATGGCTTCTAACGACGGCAACCTGCTCAACCTGACCTCCAGACGACTGCTGTGCGGATCCGGCTCGGACTGTCAAGTGATCCGCAGTAATAAGCACCACACAATGGGCCGCAGTTATAATGATATTCTCGCTGTAAATTGAACCGCCACAATGAGGTGCGCTATCATTCAAGACTGCCACCTGCCAGGGTGCATCCTGAATATCGATGGGCCCTCCATTTATAATGCGTGGCCGCCACTTGTTGAGGTAAAAATCGCGTGCGTCCAGAAGCGTTGCCGTCGAAATCAGCAGGACAAGTCGAGCCAAGTATATCTCCATGTTGCGGTAGAAATACTTCTGTTAACATTGAGTCCAAGACTCTCAGCTTTTATAGGCCCCTTCCGCAGGTCTAAGGCCTAACGAGTCGTCACCCATTGCCAACATTGTGGAGTGTTATCTAAAATTAATTTTACTTCTACTTTAACATTTAAGATTTCTTACATTGTAAATCATGGGAATACGTCTAGCTCGGTATCCATTAATAATACCCTGCCCTGATAATGTTCTGCAAATAGAACATTTTGACTTTTAGCGACAAGCGTTAAGCAAATAAAGAATATTGAACTTAACTATGCTTTGGTTGACACGCCTTCAAAAAAAGTAGGACTTATGCCACGCCCAATATCACATTGCAAATCTTTAAACTTTATGCCTGGTTAATTTGCAGATCGATCAGATAAAAGATAAACTAATGATAAGAAAAATCTAAACATTGCTTTGGTAAAAAAATATTCTTTGGTCATGGAGAGCTCTTCCAGAAACTTGAAAAAAGCTTATTTTTCCACGTTCGACATGCTAGCAAAAACTTATTAATATCCAACCATGATGTGATATAGTTTATATATGAACAATCGACTGGAAAAAGAATTACTGGACAAAGAGTCGTGTTTTGGCTAACTCGAGTATACATTGTAAACTGTTTTTTTATTTATTTCATACTAAGAGACAAGCAGTCCCCAGATCTGAATTGCATTCACATATAAATAAACATAAAACTAAAGTGAATTCTTAGGGAGCGGGCTTAGTGGAAAGAGGACAAAGAAAAGGGAATATGATGATAGAGTGCAAGAGTTAATAACTGTGAGGTTATGAGCAGATACACTTTTTTTTAATTTATAATCAAAATATAAACATCCATTACAAAAGCAGCAAGTGTTGTAAATCTACTTGGACTCATGAGAAGAGCAGAGAATAGTGATGTTAAAATGCAATAGTTTTTATTGGAGCAGAGGGAAAAGGCTATCAAAAAAGTGATCTAAGCAAAGTTATTATAAGAAAATATACACACACACATTGTGTATGCAAGGAAATTTTTATATATTGAAACCTTTTTAATTCATTTGCTTAGACAGACTCAGATTGCTCAGTTGTATAGTTATTTTGGAGTTCCGCAATCGCCTTCTGTAGCCAAGCATGAAAATATGCAACATTGGCATAAACTCCTGGATATCCGGGCTTGGCGCATCCCTCAGCCCAAGAAACAACACCCACAAGTTGGGCTTTAGATACCAGAGGTCCGCCAAGGTCATTACCACATGCGTCCCTGCCCTGATCGGTGGCGCAGATCATGTCCTTGGTGATTTCCCAGCCAATCAACGAATACTTGGAGAGAGCGCAGGTCTTGCGTTCAACGATTTTGAGGCTTACCCCATGCAGTTCAGTTGGGCGAGCACATTCCCTTCTCACTTTGCGAATACCCCAGCCAGAAACATAAGCATCGGATCCGTGTTCAGGACTTTCTGTTGCCAACGCAATTATTTGAACCGAGGGTCCAAGACGAAGCGGTCGAACCAACTTCAATACGGCAATGTCATTTTCATGGGTCTCGCTGCCGTGGTGCTCGTGGATCCTGTAATCATCCACCTTCGCGAGCTGCCCTCCAGAGTTCCAGTTCGCGGAACCAGCTCGCACTGTCAACTGTGCAATGGAAATTCTGTTCCTCAAGCACTCCGCAGCTGTTATGATGATATCGCCGCTGACGATCGAGCCACCACAAAAGTGTTCGCTATTATTCAACAAAGCCACCTGCCAGGGGGCAACTTTAATGTCAATTGGTCGCCCATTCACAATGCGTTGATTCCGTAGGAGCCCAAAGACATTACTGGCCTCTAGGAAGGCTGCGTTTGAGAGTAGCAGGACAAGCAGAGGCGTATAGATCCACATCGTAAGCTGGAACTTCTGTTGAAACGGAGTCAAAACATGCTGCTTTTATAGCCCGTTCTTTTAATCAGCCAGCTGACAGTCCCTGATTTATTGGCAATGTTCTAGAGTCTTATCGGAATTGACTTTGCCGACTTTGTTAGGTTTGTTTTAATTATAATTTTTACCTTGCAGTTTAACAAATATTTATCTTTTAAATAACCGACACGTGGCTTGACTGGAAATTACCTAAATATTGGTTTAATCTTTCCATTTTCCCATTTTTAGTATTTTGCACAGCACAAGTGAAATTCTTACGCCGTTCGATTCGAGTTCCGCCGTTTTAAAAAGTAATACCAATATTTTGTGATATATCAACAGTATGAACAAGTAGTCAATACATTTGTCGTACGTCAGCAAGAGTTTTAGTTCTTCGGCATTCCGTAATAAGCATTTTTTTATTTTCTTTCACAGATGACAGATGAGTTGACTAGTTCGACATCTTCTAGCAGAAATTCTTCTGTTGAGTCCAAAACCTGTCGGCTTTAACCAACTGCAGCTTTAAATTGTAAGTTCTTATCGGCAATAACTTCCTCTCATTATTGCAATTTTTAATATTTAACATTGGGTTTTGATACCCCTCAAAGGATGGATTTGTGCACATGTATGCAACATGCAGAAAAAACCATAAATATATATTCGATCAGTAAACCCAACGTCAGTCCCTTTCAAAACACGCATCCATCTCCAAAAATATTGATTTCAAGAATTGGGTCTCAAAGCATAGCCCGAGGTAGGTTCTCGTATGCCTAAATAAAGAATACCTCGTCCAATATCAACCAAAATTACAATTTACAAGCAGGGCCTTGCACTTTGCTATATGCATATATTTTCCTATGCGGACCGTGGACATTTCACACTCATGGACAATAAGCACCAATACAATGCAAAACATAATTTTCTACAGTGTGTGAGCCTTCGTAAGGGTATCTCCTAGTCAGACAATCCTGACCTGGCGAGGTTATTCTAAGAAACTGAGCTTGAAAATAACTCGCACATGTCCGATATGTTATTTATATAGTTTTAACGAGATTTCCATTTTCCAATTACGTATAATATAGTTTTAATGTGGGGACTAGAATTAATTGAATTCGTTATGCAAAACATTTATGTAGCGCAGGTTGTTTGTATGTGTGTTTTTTTTTTTATTACGTCATTCGTTTGAATATTTTTGCTAATTTTAGCACAACAATTAAATTTTTGGTTCATTTTAAATGTCGCTCGCTGTCGCACGCGAAGCGGGGTATGCGTAATGTGAGGGAAACATTTAAATTAGGATTAGTTGACTGTGAGGATGTGCGTGCGCATTAAAATCGAAACATATGCAAAATGTTAATGCAGCGCACATGGCCGAATCGGCAAATGGGGAAAATGGGGAAAATAGGGAAAATGGGCAAAAGGATACCAACTATTTTGGCCAGTTGGCGATTTTGCATCTTTACGCTGTGGGCATATTGATTTCGGACGGGGACACATAAATTAATGCCCATCGCGTCTAGCGACAGTTGTAACCAAGCAGCGCCAGCCCCGGTGACCATTGACCATCGGTGACCGTTGACCAGTTTGCCAAGAGTTGCAGCAATAATACCCCAACCCCCACCCCCAACACCCTTAACACCAGCCACACACGGTCCAGCTTACTGGCACGTCAACGGCTGGCGCGCATTTTAAAATTATATTATTTTGAATGGCTTTTTAGAAATTAATAATTACATATGACAGCACTGCATGTGCGTGTGTGTTTGTGTGTGTGTGTGTGTGTGTGTGTGTGTGTGGGCGTGACTGCGTACGTGGCATTTAATTTTTTATATTATGCAACTGTCTGCGTGCTCTGTCGAAATGGCTTTAATGGGAATTTAAATTTCGGTAACTGCCAAATGCCAAATGGAAATTAAAGTTTCTAAATTTGAATCAATGAAAATAATCGTTGAAAATATGAGAAAAACTGAAATGCAAAATCATAATTGGTAAATCAAATATTTGGCTATGCAATATGACATATATGTTAATTTGAAATTTATCTGATAGAGTCAAATTCTCTAACGCCAACAGCTCTCTATATTTATATTTACGAACTGGTGATTGGGTCAATACATTTGGGGCACTTTGGCTTCGGTGTTAATTTGCATGCAAATTATATATTTGAATTTTATGCTTATTATCTATATAAATAAATTATATATTTAATATTTAATAAATTATATATTATTTGAACCTGGAATTTCAAAGCCTTAAATATACAATTTCGGTTACATTTGCCATAAAAATTCTACAACTTTCTGGAAAAAATCGCAGACACATAAAAATAGAATCTAAGTTCATATTTAACTACCTCTACAGCCAATTTCTCACCTTTATTAACTCAAGAATTCTCCATACACCATTGACAATTTTGCTGGCAATTTCAACCATTGTGCTTGGCCAACAACGGTTAGACAGGCTGCAGCTGTGGTCTTTTTCGCCAGCTTTTGTGCCCATATCACAATTTTTTTACCCTGAACCCATTAAGCTTGGCTAAAAAGGGGTATAATGGTTTTGCGCAAATGTATGTAACAGACAGAAGAAAGCACCTTCATCCCCATAAGGTACATATATTTTTGATCAGCTCCGTCTGTCTGAAATTAAGATCTAGAAACTGGAAACTTAAAAATATAAACATTCCTCTATTATTCGCAGAACGAAAGATGATATTCTTTCTCGAAATATCGAGAGAGCCCATATCATATTTATAGAAGCAAGTTGGAATGCTGGCAACGGCAGTTTTGCCCTGCATTCGAGGTATCTTCTACTCCGGCACTCCCGACTAAAGTACATGCTTTATTTTTTTACTTTTTTCTTTCCTTCGCTTTGGTCCCCATACGCAAGCCGCCAAATGTCTGGCCGTTGCTTTATTCCCACTACTTTTGCCCATTATTAATTGCTAACGTGCGCTGATTTCTTTGCTACACTTTTTACGATTTTACTCGGTGTTGCTGTTGTTGTTGTTGTTGCTGCTGTTATTTGTTGCTGTTCGCCTTTGCCTTTTAGCCATGTTCGCTGTTGTCTGCTCGCTAGTCGTTGTTCGCAATTCGCAATGTTCGCTGTAGGTTGTCTTGTCCGTTTGGCTCA